CCCCAAAACCCCAAAACCCCAAAACCCCAAAACCCCGAGATAACATATAAATATAGAAAGGTTTAGACAATAATAAATAAAATACAATGATCAATATTTTTAGTGACTTTTGCCTTTGTGACCTTCAGATCCAGTTGCAGCGTGTTTCTTCACCAATGCCAGCTGTTTCGAAGGTCCCAATCAAGTGTCACAAACAAGTCAAAGCCATCCACAAATACGACTTCTCGAGACACCAAGAGAAGCTCAAGATGAAGCTCTTCTGCATGCTGGGCACTGGATTCCCATTCGTCCTTGCCAAGAAGAAGGCTGCCGTTGCGAGCAGCAAGAGAGTCAGCAAGAGGAGAACCAGATTCACAGGAGTGACCAAGAACTCTGTGAACTACCAGACCCTGATCGTGGTCGGAGGGAAGAAGACCTATGTAGGAAGCTACCCTCTCGAAGTCGACGCGGCTATCACCTTTGACTTCTACTCGATGATGCTGCACAACGACAAGGCTCCGACCAACTTTTCATGGAAAGCCGAAGATGTCTTGGAAATGCTGGAGAGCTTCAACCAGAACGAAGGAGTGTTCGAGGCTTCTCTGTTCAGACACAAAGTATGCTAATTCTTTTTACAATTCTCAATAAGCGTCTTGGGTTCATTCCTGGTTATTACCTCTTGGGAAGGTTTATTAGAAGCCTATATAGTCACCATTTGTAGTTTCTTTCAGTGCTGATTATAAGTCTCTGAGTCGTCACTAATAAAGTCTTTCCGCACTGCCAGAATTCTTCTACCGAACTGGGGTTTAGGCAAATAGGTAGGATATATTCACTTCCAGAATATCGTCTGTTTCCATATTTTGCGTTTGTGAAGTTTCTTTGTTGTTATCAAAAATTATGAAGATTTTTCATGATTGGTATATCCAAAATGTCAGCCCTCTCCAATCTTTTGATGAGTTGACTCAATAAATGGACCAAGGAATTTGGTGAATGAATATTTAGTCGACCAGAACTTTTATGGTTTACTCATTTAGGCATTTGGGTTTATTAGGTAAGAATTAATTCTACACCTTTTAAGTCTACTTGATTGATAAGGCTGAGATTCGTGAATTCAGATGTAATGTGACTGGAATCATTAGAAAATAATGTTTATTTATATGGGCATCCTCATCTCTAACCTCTAATGAAAATTCATCATACATATCATTCCCATATTTTGTCCAAACTAAATTCTTTTAAATTTTTTGACGGAATCTGAAAGAGAATTGGCCGAGACACTTCAAATTTTCTTTATAGAAGTGCTGAAATTTTAGTTATGAGCGATCCAAATAAAATTTAATTTACTGCCAGGCTGCTAGGATTCATGGCTCATTCCCTTACTTTTATTAAGTTCAAGAATTGGTCAGTCCATCCAAGAATATGTTAATAATTTTGGGTTTACCAAAACAACTAGCAACAACTTTGCAACTGGAAATCTAGAGAGGGAAGTGTTATGAAGAAGAACCTTCTCATTGAATATATGATGAAGGAAGCGCCCACTAGTCTGCAATTCCTCGAGCCCAAGCCTTTGTTAAAAGTTGTAACTGAAATACCACCTTGCTTCTCTGGCCAACTAGAAAGGCAGAAAATGGAAAATTTGAATTTCTGGTGGATCAAGACCATTATATGTCCCACTTTTTGTGATGTTATTAATCCTCAGCGGAGCTGATTCCTTCGATTTAATGCAACCCAGAGCATCTCCTTTGAGTTATTGGAGCATCCCATATTCATGAATACAGAGAGTTCCTGTGTTTGTCATACTAGTGTCATACTAGTGTCACAATAATTAAGCTTCATTTGGGATTTCTAACTCTGAATATCTCCGAAGAATCATTTCCAATGACTGCTTGTATAACTTTTGGAGACCTTTGGGTCATATAGAAACCTCTCATGAATATTAAGTTAGCAAATAAGTGAGGAGCCACGTTCTTCATGAATTGGTGGCAGTACAAAGTCTAACTTTTATAAGCATTCGTTTCTTCTTAGAACAAATTCTTAAATTGAAAGTTTTGAAAAATCGGTATCTAAAGCTTTGAAGGAAATACTATATCCGCTATAGAGAAGATCTGCTTGCTTACATTGTTAGCTTCTATCCATTCTGTTAGAGTCTTTATAAGCTTATTGTCTTATATCAAGCAAAAGCTTGTAGTGTAGGGACTTCCAATCACCCTATCTAGAACCGATTATGTAAAATGTTCATACTGCTTTATTACTCAGATATGTAAACTTAGCAAAATCAATGATTGTAAGCCCCAATAATCAAACCGCCGGCTTGAAAATAATTAAGGTGGATTTACTTGCATTACTTGACTTATAATTCCAAAATTAGGACTGGTCTTGCATAAGTTCAAGACTAAACATACTGCCATTTCGAACTGACTCGTGTGTTAGGCTCTTATAAACCAAACTTCACAAGCTGTCCGTGCTCACTTTGATCACAAATTTGTGTAAAACTGATTATTTCTATACCATTGTTAGTGAAGCCATCTTCAAAGCATTGGGCTGAGTGGTAGTTTAGGTGAAACATTGCTCACTGTTTTTGAATCTCACCAAAAATGGAGACTCCAACTAGATATTTAAAGAGAGATCTGACAAAATATCCTACAACATTGCTCTAGGTTGTTCTAATAGCAGGTTCTATTGGTTTTATCGAAGCAAGCAAGTCTTTAATAGTGTTCGTTTGTCTATTCAGGACTTCCCAAATATTGTGCAAGAATGTGATTGCTAGGTAAACTAAGAAAAGGAGGTAATCCTCCAGTCCTCCACACCATTCGGCTATTTGTTCAATCATCTTTTAAGGGGAAGAGGCTTATTTTAGAGGCTTCGAGGTTATCACCAACTTGCTGTTGGTTCGAGCTTGCACAGTTTGGAGAAAACTAATATGAAATAAGTTCTTGTGTTTTTCACTAAAGTCTAAGAATAACTTGCATCAGTGGCTTGAGACTTCTCAATGGTGACTAAAATATCTTAAAATTACCCATTTCACTACTTTCAGTGCTAGCTAGCTTAGAAGTTCCCCTATTCTTCAACCGTTGAAGAACTTCTTGTTTATAAAGCAAGTCTTTAGTGGATAATTTTTATTTCAAATGAATGGAATAGTGAGAAGCGTTAACTTCTCCTTCTTCATAACATAGTCTCCTCCTTGATGACTGCTCTTGCTAGTTAGGACTTGTGCAAGTTTAGTATTAAAATATTTCAGGTTTAACCAATATGGCCGAAATGTCCAGTAGTAGAGACTTAGCACGCACTAAGGCTTTAGGACTGAGCTTAACTTAACTAGTCATTACCACCGCTTTTGCATATTATTGTGTAAACGATGGAGACCTCTCTGGTAAAATTTTGCTATTTGCTCACTTTAATTGTTAAAGTAAACTCATAAATTTATCAAAGATTGAGAAATTGAGAAAGAAGTGGCACCATGCTTCTCTCTTAAAACTTGGAAGTTCTCAGATAAATATGAGAGCTGCCTTACAAAAGTTTAAAGCTCCAGCCTCTTGAGAGTTAGCCCTAGCAATATGAAGCAATCCCATGTGATGGCCAGAGAGTGAGACATTGATGTTAGAAGAGATACAATCACTTTTATTGACCATGAAAATGAGAGAAGACTGTTATAGTTAAGGGCAGTAAGAACAGCAAGCTTTTCCTATTCATCAATGTATTTTGGCAGGATTTTATTTCTTTCCAGAACTGAGCCTTTTGAGATCATAATAAAGAAGTTGAGCAAACCTATATCGTTCCATATTCTGCTTTTATAAGCGTTAAAATTTGAAAAATCAAGGAAACTAATGGCCGATTGAATTTGCTAGATTTCTCATCTTTGAGAATTAGTGACAAAGACATAGCAAATCTCATAAATTTTAATTATAAAACATCATCATGGAGTATTTTAAGAAATTTAAGGATTCTTAATAGGAGAACCCGCTTCAGTTTTATAATTGTGAAAAGAAGGTTTAGAAAGATCCTCCCAACATTCTCAGTTATGAATGAAGTAAATTTCTGGATGATCTTCAAACTCTCTAAATGCTTATTTTTCATATTTGGGATACTTTTAGTTGATGAAAAGAAAATGTCAGATTTGTTAATCTCAAAATAGAGGCTAGTGCAGATCACCAAAATAATCAAAGAACTCTTCGATCTGGCTGGTTTTAGTAACCAATTATATAAATCTAGGAGGTCTGAAGATAGACTGGGATATTTCTGCTACAATTGAGTCACCTTGCAAAGTTTAACTAACTTCAATATTTTATAGAAATTTTTGAACGAAAATAGCAAAACTACAGCTTGGCAGCCCATTTGGGACTACTTTCTTTCCGACAAGAGGCTGATACTAAAGAATCCAATAGACACCAGATAGATACTCTTGAGGATGTTCTTCACTAACCGATGAATAAAGCCATGGCCAAAGATGGTTTCATCAAGCTTCTCAATATTAAGATTCCTCGTTAATTTCCACATTGGCAAATATCGAGGGGTTTTGGGGTTTTGGGGTTTTGGGGTTTTGGGG